TCTTCCCCGAGCATTATCCCCTCACGAAAGTTCGTCTTTTACAATTGAAGATTGACTATTAGATTATTTGATTATTATATTATTATATAATTGTTGAAACTTGACCAAATTTAGATCCAGAATCTAATCTAGATAAAAGACATTGCGAAATATTCAATATTGGAGATGGAGAAAATGATGGAGATGAGATTCTGAGCAAATGAGAGGGCAAAAATCGGGTGTATCTCTGTCAGAATTTCACGTTCGTGTATCCATTCGACGCAGAAAGTTGTGCTGAATCGAATGGTGAAGAAATTATCGAAATCCGTCCGACTCGATTTTTGAAAATCGCACTTTTACAAGACTCGCAACGATCAACGCAGCTCACAACGACCAACGCAGCTCACAACGACCAACGCAGCTCACAACGATCAACGCAGCTCACAACGACCAACGCAGCTCGCAACCATCAACGCAGCTCGCAACCATCAACGCAGCTCGCAACGATCAACGCAGCTCGCAACGATCAACGCAGCTCTCAGCGACCAACGCAGCTCGCAACGATCAACGCAGCTCTCAGCGACCAACGCAGCTCGCAACGATCAACGCAGCTCACAACGATCAACGCAGCTCGCAACGATCAACGCAGCTCTCAGCGACCAACGCAGCTCGCAACGATCAACGCAGCTCTCAGCGACCAACGCAGCTCGCAACGATCAACGCAGCTCTCAGCGACCAACGCAGCTCGCAACGATCAACGCAGCTCACAACGATCAACGCAGCTCGCAACGATCAACGCAGCTCTCAGCGACCAACGCAGCTCGCAACGATCAACGCAGCTCGCAACGATCAACGCAGCTCGCAACGATCAACGCAGCTCGCAACGATCAACGCAGCTCGCAACGATCAACGCAGCTCGCAACGATCAACGCAGCTCGCAACGATCAACGCAGCTCGCAACGATCAACGCAGCTCGCAACGATCAACGCAGCTCGCAACGATCAACGCAGCTCGCAACGATCAACGCAGCTCGCAACGATCAACGCAGCTCTCAGCGACCAACGCAGCTCACAACGATCAACGCAGCTCACAACGATCAACGCAGCTCGCAACGATCAACGCAGCTCGCAACGATCAACGCAGCTCGCAACGATCAACGCAGCTCTCAGCGACCAACTTTCGGCGGCTCGTTTTCAGCGTAGTCGAAAGATTTAGCCCTCAAAACCGATAACTTTTGTGTGCACGTTTATAAAGATCATTTTTCGTTTATAAAGTGCCCAGGCACATCTCTCGAAAGCACGGAATCTCAAATTTTTACAGAAATTTCAAAATTTCGCTTTACTGGGCGATACTGGCGGATTTTTTTCTACATAAACGCGAAAAAAGTAGATCGAGTTTAGTTAGATGCTACAGTAATCCACTCTATTAATCTTTTACAGTAACCTTTTCCATTTATCGTGAGCTTTTGAAACGAGAAAGCCATGATGCAATTGCAACAAAATGTATTTCGTAAGAGAAAAAGAGAAATTTGCTCAGCTGAGCCTACGAAACGAATTTCGATTTTGCAGAGGTATTTACGCTATAGTGATGATTCGGATTACGGTAACAGTTAGTCGGATCACTATTTAACACCGTATCTAAGAGCTCTAAAGTATCGTAGCTCTGAGCCAGCCTAGCTCTGAGCCAGCCAGCGTAGCTCTGAGCCAGCCAGCGTAGCTCTGAGCCAGCCAGCGTAGCTCTGAGCCAGCCAGCGTAGCTCTGAGCTATCGAACCAAAATCAGTTTATCTGCTTCTGCTTTCGGTCTGCTTTTGGTCTGCTTTCGTTTATGGCAGATTACGGTAATTGAGTGAGGCTTTAAAATGCCCACCCTAGCTTCTTTCTTCACAAGAAGATTGCTACTGATGTATTTTCTGAAAGAGGACTCATTAATGCGTTCGTTATTCTATGCGGCGTTCTCTATTCGTTTTGAAGAAAATGAATTCAATCCTTCTTCTTCTTCATTCTTCGATTTTGGTGTCAAAACCAGCATCAAAATCTGGTCTTTATGCAAGATAATGTTCCGTTTCAGCATTATGAGATGTTTACAAAGGAAGCAATTGCACTTTTGGGTAATTCACCAATTCGGCTTATTCAGCTAATTCGCCCGATTTGAATCCACAAGAAAACATTTACAAAGAAATCAATTCAATAAATGAAGAAAGAAAGAAGCTGTAGCAAGCTGTAGATGTAGAGCTGGCAAGCTGGCAAGCTGTAGATGTAGAGCTGGCAGCAAGCTGGCAAGCTGTAGATGTAGAGCTGGCAAGCTGGCAAGCTGTAGATGTAGAGCTGGCAGCAAGCTGGCAAGCTGTAGATGTAGAGCTGGCAAGCTGGCAAGCTGTAGATGTAGAGCTGGCAGCAAGCTGGCAAGCTGTAGATGTAGAGCTGGCAGCAAGCTGGCAAGCTGTAGATGTAGAGCTGGCAAGCTGGCAAGCTGTAGATGTAGAGCTGGCAGCAAGCTGGCAAGCTGTAGCAAGCTGTAGATGTAGAGCTGGCAAGCTGTAGATGAAAAACTCATCGAAAATCACGTTTTAAGCATGGACGATCGAGTTTTTCAAATGATTCAGCGTTCAGGAAGCTTCATTGATTATTGTTTTGTTATTTTAAAAGTTTAGTTCACTTATTTTGCTATTTTTTTCTAGTTAAATATTTCTCAATTAGTTATAAAATGGTGTCCAAGAGTGGATTGTTAGGCATCCACAAATGGACAAGCATTGACATTGATGTTGACGTTGGCATTGATATTGACATTGAGATTGACATTGATATTGGCATTGACATTGGCATTGACGTTGACATTGGCATTGACATTGAGATTGACATTAACATTGGCATTGACGTTGACATTGGCATTGACGTTGACATTGCCCTTGACATTGACATTGACAAACAAACATTTGACAATGAAGTTAAGTGAACAACGAGGAAGATAACAAGGAAGATCACAAGGATTCTAATTTTATCCATCGATTACTCATCTTTATTAAGTGCAAAAGGTTTTTTGTTTACTTTTCATTTCAGAAAAGAGCAAAAGAGGCAAAGAGACGTAAAAGAGACGTAAAAGAGGCGTCTATTGATGTCGAACGGAGCGACGCGTCAGCACTGCGAGAAAAGGGCGCAAAGCCACGCCCCTTTTTTTGGCTTGGCTCCGGGCAGTTCCCCCTTCTCTTCTTTTCCTCAGCCTCCCCACAAATGATTGCTTTATTGGACAGTCTGCTGGGGTAGACTGCTGGACGTTCTATTCAGCAAAAGTCAAATCATTCCTCTTTCCTCTTTTCACACCTTGACTTGACAATGATTCCTCTCTCTCCTTTTTTCACATCTAGAGATTATCTATACCACTTTATATACTAAATTCAATGCAATAAGCTCGGTTTTTTTTCGCTATTCTTATCGCTATCCATCCTTTTACCTTATTTTCTAATTTTAAGCCGTCAGGAAACTGATTTCCCTTACAACTTGTTTCAAGAATTCTCCAAGTTCTCATTTCTTTGCAAGTTCACCTTTGACACTTCACAGCAGCTTAACTAACCTTCCAAATCTTTCCATATGCCTTTTAATGCATCTAATGCCTTTTAATACATCGAATCCCTCTAATCCCTTAACCCCTTAACACATTTACATTTCTAGATTTGTAAAAATAAAGCAAAGTTAAAAATATTGATTAAAAACATTTATTAAAAACTTTACTTAACTTTACTTAACTTTAAGCTAAAGTTCTGGACCTTCGTTGGCTTGGTTGGCTAAAGTTTTAGCTGTTTTTGATTGAAATTTGAATAAATATACATATAAATATACAAATTTTCATTCAATTCTTAATAAAAAACAAAATTTTTGTCATACAAAGCCCCGCATTTCATTGAAGCAATGCTATCGATTTTTCGCCGCTTCTCTGCTCCTCATCAGGCCCATTCCCAGCTAATTAGACTTCAAATTTCTATTTTTTTTGATATATCTAGATATTCTTATTATTCTCTCTAATAGTAGTGCCCCCCGAGCCGAGTTGATGACTATTTTACGGTTTTGAAGCTTTTGCAGAAGCTGCAGAAGCCGCAGAAGCTGCAGAAGCTTTTGCAGAAGCTGCAGAAGTTGCAGAAGCTGCAGAAGCTGCAGAAGCTGCAGAAGCTGCAGAAGCTGCAGAAGCTCAACACTCTAATCCCCCACTAGATCTGATCCTCAGCTACATTTTCCGACCCCACATCGATAGGTTCTGTTCTCGAGATTTCAAGATTGTTGTTTGTGTTTGTTAAAACGCTACAAAGTTACCGTATTAACTGTATTTGAAAGCTGTAAAAGCTACCTTTAGAAAGCTACCTTTAGAAAGCTACCTTTGGAAAGCTTTCTTTGGAAAGCTGTCTTTGGAAAGCTGTCTTTGGAAAGCTGCCTTTGGAAAGCTGCCTTTGGAAAGCAAGTAATTCTCTCTAATAGTAGTGCACCCCGAGCCGAGTTGATGGCTATTTACGGCTTCCAAAGTTTTCCCAGAAGCTCAAGACTCAAATCCCCCACTAGATCTGATCGTCAGCTACATTTTCCGACCCCACATCGATAGGTTCTGATAAGTGGTTCTCGAGATTTCGAGGAATTTAAGCGACGTGAGCCCTGGCGACGCTCAGTGTGCACTACTATTAGAGAGAATACAATATTATCATCTAGTTATGTAGTTATCTAGTTATCTAGCTATCTAGTTATTATTATCTAGTTTTTCAAATAAACAGAAAAAATAGCCGATTCTATCCGGCTAATGATCGCTTTTGAGCGATCAATTGAAAGCTTTTACAAAAAAATTTTTCGATTTTTTTTGTTTTTTCAATTTTTCAATTTTTCGAACTTTTTGCTATTGTTTTTAAGCATTATTTTAGTTTTTTTTTTTAATACTTTTCACATAGCCATTATCTAATAATTTAATATGCAACGTTCTAGGGGAAGTGCTGAGGTTGTTCCCACGATAAACGCGAGCTCAAAAGGCTTTCCTCCCAGCCACATCATGATGAACTCGGATTTTCAGCTGGATTTGGATTTTGATGTGGATTATATTAATGATATGGATCTTCAATTCGATGCTCCACTTCCACTCTTTAAAGGAGTCGATCCAGCGCTTTCTGGACTTGTACCGGTGAGTTGGATAAGCGATTGGATTGGATTTGGAACTTGGAATGGATTTGGAGCTAGGGTTGGATTTGGAGCTTGGATTGGATTTGGAGCTTGGGTTAGATTTGGAGCTTGGGTTGGATTTGGAGCTTGGGTTAGATTTGAAGCTTGGGTTAGATTTGGAGCTTGGGTTAGATTCGGAGTTTGGGTCGGATTTAGAGCTTGGGTTGGATTTGGATGAACGTTTACTTTAATCGGATAAGCTGTACTTTAAGCTCAAGCTTGTAAACGCAATCTTTCTAATGCATGCAAGTCTTTGCTTCTTTTTTATGCGACACCAAATCACTAGTGCAAGAAGATTTCAGTGCTCTAGACAGAGAGTACAGAATACACGGCTAAGAAAATCCTTATTGACGGGCTTTTGGTGGCTAGGAAGCTAGAACCCTGACTAGGAAGCTGTACAGATAGCTAGAAAGCTAGAACGCTGACTAGGAAGCTAGAAAGCTGACTAGGAAGCTAGAAAGCTGACTAGGAAGCTAGAAAGCTGACTAGGAAGCTAGAAAGCTGACTAGGAAGCTAGAAAGCTGACTAGGAAGCTAGAAAGCTGACTAGGAAGCTAGAAAGCTGACTAGGAAGCTAGAAAGCTGACTAGGAAGCTAGAAAGCTGACTAGGAAGCTAGAAAGCTGACTAGGAAGCTAGAAAGCTGACTAGGAAGCTAGAAAGCTGACTAGGAAGCTAGAAAGCTGAGTAGGAAGCTAGAAAGCTGAGTAGGAAGCTAGAAAGCTGAGTAGGAAGCTAGAAAGCTGAGTAGGAAGCTAGAAAGCTATAAAGCTAGCTAGAAAGCTATAAAGATATCTAGAAAGCTATAAAGGAGCTATAAAGAAAGCTAGAAAGGTGTACTTTAAGCTCAAGCTTGTAAACACAGCTTTCCTGGCACACTTTTCTCTTGTAGCCTTCCCATTTCTCTTGTAGCAACATCGATCGCAAGAGAGATTAAAGGTTCAGTGTCTCAGAAAACGTGTGTTCACAGGATTCAGCTCAATTGTGCATGTTAGCGTCTCAATTTTTGCTTTAAAAATTCCCAAAAGTCCCCCGGAAAGTCAAGCTATTAAATTTCAATTCCCTTTGTTATAAAAAGGCTTTTTTTCAGACTGAAGACGAGTTTCCGATCGATTTCATGGGACTCGGAAATGGAGAAGACGATTTTTGCAACAATCTCATCAATGGTTAGTCTGGAAAAAATTAGAGTCGACAAATGATTAGCATTTGATCAATTTCGTTATCGAACTTTCGAGATTGAACAGCTCAAAGCTAAGATATTTGCATTCAAAGTTGGATTCATCATGGCAAAGGAGGCCGAGCGTGTCCCACCTTTTATACCTGCCCCCTTTGCCATTGGCAATCCAACTTTCAGCTCAAATATCTTGGTGTTCAGCTGTACAATTTCTAAATTCTTGGTATCATTTGATGCGCCAAGTCTTTCTCTATCGATTGGTACAAAAACTATTTGAATTGGACAATCCAAAGCCAAGTTATTTGAGTTTAAAGTTAGATTGCCAATGGCAAAGGGGAGCTGGGTCAAATGTTCCAAAATCTTTCAAGATTTTGCAAATCTTTGCACTTTAAAATTTTGATTTGCCTTCACCATTGAATTCTTCGTTTAATTACAATAGAAATTGTTGTTTAAAAAGAAATTGTTTCTTAAGAATTGTTGCTTAAGAATTGTTTCTTAAGAATTGTTTTTAAGTGCAACTATTTGTTGATGAGAAAGAGGAAGAGAGAAAGAAGGGAAGCAGAGAAGGAAGGAAGAAAGAAAGAGAGAAAGAAGGACAGAAAGAAGGAAAGAAAGAAGGAAAGAAGGAAAGAAAGAAAGAGAGAAAGAAGGACAGAAAGAAAGAAAGCAAGCAAGAATGAAAGCGGAAAAGAAAGCATTTCGCAAGAGGTTCCAACGTGGCGCTGGCATTGTTGGAAGAGATTTCTGTGAGTGGAAATGTGTTGGAACCGAACACGTCTCATGAGAATGACTTGTGCAATCTTTGATAAGCTTTTTGTCTTCAAAACATGACTCAAGCTTGAGTTGTTGGAGTTGAAAGTTGAAGTTGAAATGGGGGGGTTAACATAAACCCCAAAAAATTCATTTTCATAAATAAATTTTCGGATTTTACACAAGAAAAGCAATTAGAATATAAACTGATTACTGTTTAAAGTTTAAATAAGTGTTTGTGCTAGCTCGCCCTCCTCTGAATGTAAGTCAAAAGCTGTAGCTTAGTCAAAAGTAAATAAACAAGTTTAAATAAACAAATTTGCATAAACTATTTGTAATTAGTTCCAATATCGTTTCCAATTTTCTAATTCAGTGATGGAACAAGAGCAATTGGATGACGAGCACAGCTATGCTGCATCGGCTTTCTCGCCAGGTGGCTCAGATCGTGGCAGCTCGTCGCTGGGAAGTGCTTGTGCTAGCTCGCCCTCCTCTGAATGTAAGTCAAAAGCTGTAGCTTAGTCAGAAGCTGCTGTAGCTTACTCAGGAGCTGCTGTAGCTTACTCTGAAGCTGCTGTAGCTTAGTCAGAAGCTGTAGCAAACGCATCTTTCCTAGCGCACAGCATTCCTCATTTTCATAGCAGAGAACTTTGGAAATGCTAGTGCGTCAGAAAAGCCTTCTACTTGAGCACAAAGTTTTCGAAATGAATCCCCGTTCACTCTATTTGTCACTAGCACTCCATCAGCACTCTCGCAATCTTTCAGCTTCAGCCTCCTACAACCTCGAGTACTTGCAAATGAATGGAAACGATTCATTTATCTATGATGCTCCTCAAACAACCACAAATACATTTTATCAATCACAACCGATTCAGAGAAGGAACTCGAATGTTGGGTGAGTTTTTTGGGTAGTAACCTAGCTAAGAACCTAGCTAAGAACCTAGCTAAGAACCTAGCTAAGAACCTAGCTAAGAACCTAGCTAAGAACCTAGCTGAGAACCTAGCTAAGAACCTAGCTGAGAACCTAGCTGAGAACCTAGCTGAGAACCTAGCTGAGAACCTAGCTAAGAACCTAGCTAAGAACCTAGCTAAGAACCTAGCTGAGAACCTAGCTGAGAACTTTAGATCCAAATTCTTTACATTATTTTCCCCAAATTTCAGAAACGCTCGCGTGCAGAAACAAACCGGCGCCCAAGCAGCACAGATGGTTAGATACAGTGAGTTTTTAGATGAGTATTCTAGAGAAACTCGAAAAACACCAGCTGTAAATGCACGTGTTGTTTGAATTCTTAGTTTAAAGATTCTTAAGAACTGTCAGAAATTCAGCTGTAAATCCAGATGTATAAAGAATCGTACTAAAGGAATCAGATAATTGTACTAGTATCTAAGTTCTTTTACGTACGTACGTAGTTTTATGTAGTACGTACGTAGTTTTATGTAGTACGTACGTAGTTTTATGTAGTACGTACGTAGTTTTATGTAGTACGTACGTAGTTTTATGTAGTACGTACGTAGTTTTATGTAGTACGGACGTAGTTTTATGTAGTACGGACGTAGTTTTATGTAGTACGGACGTAGTTTTATGTAGTACGGACGTAGTTTTATGTAGTACGGACGTAGTTTTATGTAGTACGGACGTAGTTTTATGTAGTACGGACGTAGTTTTACATAGTACATACATATTTTCTACCTACGCTGATCCTTTTCTGGGTTTGACTAGGAAAACAAAAAATTGTCGCCATCGGGACTCGAACCCGCGACCCATCGACCAATCTCTTGCTTAGCAAGCGAGCGCTCCACCACTGAGCCACACGGGCACCTACTCACCGCCCTTGGGAAAGGTTCTTATCCCCTACTTCTAAGAATAGGTGGATATCTTTTAATTGACTAAAAAAGCTTTAATACTAAAGGGACAACATCTATTAGATCGTGGTAGAAGCTATTCTTACAACTAGATACGATTCTAACAACTAGATACGATTCTAACAACTAATAGACAATATTCTTGTGATTAGACACTATTCTTACAATTAATAGACACTATTCTTTCAATAAAACACAATTCTTTCAATTAATAGAACAATTACGGTCTACTATGCAGTAGTTTTAGTGATTCTTTATTCTTTATTCATATTCACATATTTAAACGACTCTTTCGGCTTGTGTGGGCGTCTCTTGAAAGCCTTTTTTGGTTCTTGGTTTCTCTTTTAGTCTCTTTTAGTCTCTTTTATCCATTTTCTCTCGAATTTCTCTTCATTTCCTTCCACATTTCAACACTTTTTCCCCCCTTTTTCATCCCCCAAAACAGAGCCTTTTCAATGACGTGAATTTCCCTACCCGAAATTCGACTCGCTGAATATCAAAGATAAAAACAAATTTGTTTGCTAAAAGATATTATTTAGAAATTTGAGAATTTTTGAGAATCAAATTGATTTTGGAATCTGGAATCAATTTTGGAATCAATTTTGGATCAATTTTGGAATCAAATTTGGAATCAATATCAATATGAGCTTTTTTTTTTGAAAAGCAAACATTTTGGAAGCTTTGAAATGGAATGGGAAAATGGAAATGGGGGAAAATGGAAATGGGGGAATGGAAAAGAAAAGAAAAGATGAAGCTGTATTGTAAAATGTTAGAATATTGTTTTAAAACTTAGCTAGCTAGCTAGCTTTAACCTAGCTGGCTAGCTTTAAGCTAGCTTCATTGAATCTCTAGATCTTTAGAATCCCAATTGAATACCTTTAGATCTTTAGAGTCCCAATTGAATATCTTTAGATCTCTAGAATCCCAATTGAATATCTTTAGCTCTTTAGAATCCCAATTGAATATCTTTAGATCTTTAGAATCCCAATTGAATATCTTTAGCTCTTTAGATTCTCAATCCTTTGAATCCCAATCTTTAGAATCCCAATCTTTAGAATCCCAATCTCTAGAATCCCAATCTTTTCAATCCCAATTGCTATTTACTTGATGTTGATCTTAGAAAGTCATGGTTGAGTCATCAGCTTTCTTTTCTTTCTTTTCCTATTTCCCTCATCCATTTATTGTTTTTCTGTTCTTTTTTTCGGTTAGATATCTGCTCGATTGATGTGTTTATATTAGAGAAAAAGAGAAAAGAAACAAATCGAACAAATCCTTTTAGCTGAGCCTTTTGCTGAGCCTTTTCCTGAGCTTTCCTAGTTTATACTAACAGCTAACAATAAGCTAAATATTAGAAAGTGTTTACAAATCTCCATTCGTTTAGTATCTATTATTTTAAGTAGATAATCAATTAAAAAGTCAATTAATGATAATAAACATTAAAAGGAATAATGGGCGGTGAAAAGTTAAGCAAAAAACTTGGTTTTAATCTTTGATTTCAAGCAAAATTGGTACGATACGATAAACGAATCGAATAGAAATAGAATAGAAAGATCGGATCGAATGCGATTAAGCATTAAATTACGAATGATGAACGTTATAAGGACTAGTGGGTGGTTAAGTTAAGTTAAGCGAGAAATTAACATTCTTCACTGGAACGGGAACCTGTTTGATGTCAGTGAAGATAAAAAAAAATGAATTTTGAGTTGAATCTTTGAGCAGATTTTAAAACTGATGCCAAATTCGGATTCTGATTCTGATGCCAATTTCCCATCGCCAAAAGGCTTTTGTTTTAAATTTCTCAAAGCTTTTAAACAAGCTGAATCCCACGGTGAGATCGGTGAGATGTTTTCTTCCTGTTGATTTTTGTCAATTCTCGTATCGATTATCGCCTTCTTCTGTCTGTAAAATGTTTAAGAATTTCCGTATGAATCGTCGAAAATCTTTCGATTTTTCCTGAAGAAGAGCAAAAAGATAGTTTGTCCCTTTGTAAAGTCAGTAAAGATAAAATTTTGGGGAAAATGGATGAATAGAAAGGAACTAGATCAAGAAACGAACGAACCAACGAACAACGATTCTTTTTTTTTCCTGTACACACAATGAGATTCTTCTTTTCACCTTCTTTTCACCTTCTCTTTCACTTCTCTTTCTCTTTTCTCTCTTTTCTCTCTTTTCTTAACCACTTCAGTCATACAAGCGCGCCGATCGTGTCCGTGGGCGATTTGAAGGAGAGAAAAGGGGCGATGTGCGGTGGAAAGGAATTCGAATCTCTTGGGGAAAGGAATATTGATTGAAATTCGATTTTCAAGGGGAAATTTCTTAAATCTCAATGATCTCAATGATAGGTAGCTGATTTGACTCAAGAATTACGCTGATTCAGAAATCTGAATCAGAAATCTGAATCAGAAATCTGAACGACTTGTTGAAAGGGGGAATGAGGAGATTGGCTGGAAGGCTAGAAAGCTGGAAATTCATTGAAATTAGACTTTTCGGAAGCTTTATCAACTATAAATTCAATATTATATGTCTAGTTTGTACAAGTCGATAAAAACAGTACACATTTATCTGTGGGAAAGTCTTGTGGTGGAAGTTTGGATCTTTAGGGTTATCGGAAGAGGGGCCGAGTTTTTGACCATTTTCCAGCCCAATTTTAGATAGGTTTTTGTTAATAACTTTTGATGAAACAAATAGTTTCTGAAAGTTGACGTTTTAAGCTATCTAAATCTTATTAAAACTTTCTGATCAGACAAGTTTAAGGTGCTTAAAAATGAGCTAGAAGTTGGCCAAAAAATTGCCCTCTAGAAAATTAGAAAAAGTGATGCTGTTTTGCCGGATTGTAACTTTAGATGTAGACATTGTAAAAATGAAAGCTATATGGCATTTAAAAGCTCTCATTGAGCTCTACAAGATGTGATATAACAGTTTGAGGAATACAGTAGTTTTTTTCAACTTTTACGGGCTTGAATCAAACCAATGAGGGCAATTTTTGGGCAATTTTTGAGGGCAATTTTTGTCTCACTTTTTGTCCCAGAAAGAGCTTGCTAATCACGTTTTAAAGCCTAAATCTAACTGTAATCTATTCTGTAAACATTCGTTAGTACTTTTGTCTTAAAAATAACTATAGTAATGGTTTATTGTTAGTCTCAATGAAGAGTTCTTGCGTTCAACTTTCGTCTGGAGCTTTTCTCGTTCAACTCTCTCTCTCTTAACTTCAGCTAGCTATCAATTCTCATGCCAATTTCATGATCAGTCTCTTTTTTTAAAAAGAATCATCGAAAATTGAAAGATAGATCCGGGCGATTGGGTAAAAAAAAAGAAAAAAAGACAAGACGGGTTGTAGGGACAATCTCTTCCCTCCGATCCGTCGTCGAAATGGGTCAGTCAGTCTCTTTTCTTCAAAAAAGACTCCTCTTTCTCTTTTCTTTTGCTTTTCTTCTTCTTTCAGCTTTCTTTTCTTTCAGTTCTTCAATCTAAGCACTTCAATCCTTCTTTTTCTTCTTATTTTTCAAGAAAACAAGATCACTTTATGAGATCTGTGCAAGAGAAAGAGCTAAAGATTTGGGTTAACAATTGAAATGATGAAATAGCTTTGAAATGGGATTAAAATGGATTTAGAATGGATCTAGAATGGACTCTTAAACTGGATTTAGAATGGATTTAGAATGGAATTAAAACTGACTTAAAATGGAGTTAAAATGGGATCTTAAACTAGAATTAAACTGGATTTAAAATGGAATTAGAATAGAATCTTAAACTGGAATTAAAATAGAATTAAAACGAAATTAGAATAGAATCTTAAAATGGAATTAAAATGGATTTAGAATGAAATTTTAAACTGAAATTAAAATGGGATCTTAAACTGAAATTAAAATGGGATCTTAAAATGGAATTAAAATAGAATCTTAAACTGGAATTAAACTGGATTTAAAATAGAATTAAAATAGAATTAAAATAGAATTAAAATAGAATTAAAATATTGGGTTGTGGAGAATGAGTCGGCGCCAAACTTTAAAGGGACTTTTTGCACACATAAAGCCTTCTTTAAACATACGTTTGGTTTCATCAAAAGGATCCACTATTTCTCTACAAAATCACTTTTGAGAGATTCCACAAAGCTTTTCTTTCGTGGAGTTTATGAACTTCCAAACGCAGCTGGTTAAAATGGCAAAGAGTCCGACTCATCATTTGAACAGTTTCTTTCACATAAACCTTCTTTGGTGTTTATATAAAAAAGATAGAGCACATTCAATTACTTAAGTTGACAAATTTGCAGGAAGATCCCACCAATGGTTTTTTCTAGATCACAGTTTGTAGTTTTTGTGAAAAAATGGCTTTTTCTTGAGCGGAGGCGCTGTTTGAATTTTCTTTTAAATGTGATTTTGTAGAGAATTAGTTAACCATTCTACTCATATCAAACGCATATTATTTGACGAAGTCGAATTGAAGTTTTAGACATTTTTGTGATTTTCGGCGCCGACTCATTCTCCCCAACCCAATAGAATCTTAAACTGGAATCTTGAAGTTGTAGAGATGAAAAATGAAATGAACTAGAAATGAACTAGAAATGAACTAGAAATGAACTAGAAATGAACTAGAAATGAACTAGAAATGAACTAGAAATGAACTTGAAATCAACTTGAAATCAACTTGAAATTGAGAATTGAAATGAAAAATTCATAAAAGAGAAGTTTAAATCGAAAAATGTAAGCAGAAAACTCAAGAAAAATAAAATGAAATGGTTAAACATCACTGAATCTTAGAGCAAAAGAGTTTTTCAAGTTTAATGAGACAATTTAACAGACAATTCAACAGACAGACTAAACGAAAATTTGCATATTAGACAAGTGAATCTTATTTGAATCTTATCCTACGGCTTACAATTGAGGTCTTTCAAAAAAGAGCTTTTAGAACCACTCGTTCGAGGCACCGCCGCCAACAATTTGGTCACCGCGTCCACCACTCCAGCTAAACTCACGCCAGGTGGGCTTTAGATGGCTTTAAATGTTTTGCAAATGAATATCGATGAATAGCTTTCGATTATACACAAATTTCGATCAATTTATCTAGATAATTTAACGATTTTGCTATTCAGCTGTCGGCGAGCGCACTCGCAAATACCCGCCGCTCGTGTTGACCGATGAGGAGAAGCGACTTTGCAAAAAGGAGGGCATCGTCCTCCCCGAGCATTATCCCCTCACCAAAGTTCGTCTTTTACAATTGGAGATTGAATATTATAATAATATTATTATATAATTATTATATAATTATTATATAATTATTGAAACTTGACCAAAGTTAGATCCAGAATCACAGAACCAGAATCTAGTCTTTTTCTTAGAGCAGTGTCTGTCTATCTGTCTTTATAGGCATTTTCTCGGTCATGTTTTGATCAATAAAGCTAAAAATTCTTTAAAAACCTTAAAATATATTGTAGTTATGTCATTTGAAAAAATTTTTATAAAAATCAAAATTTGGATGAAAGACCCGGAAGTCGAACCAGGGCCTTGAGGGCTACAGACCAGCGCTCTCCTGACTGCGCCATGATGACATATCGACCAGCAGCCAAAAAGGCGAACAAAAAGCCTAACAGCGGGTTTTTCTGGCTAGATGATTTTTCCTAGATTGGAGCTAGATAGTTCTGTTTTCTGGGCAAGCTTCCTCGTGGGCATGGCCTAGTCGGGAGCGCTCTTGTTTACAGCTCACACGGCCAGGGTTCGACCCACCGCAGTGCCACTCGACGTTGCTTTTTCACTCTTTTAGTTGACAGATATCATATTTTGAAACTTTTTGAGATATTTAGAGATATCAGTTTATTTTGGCTCAAAAACGGTTGAGAAAGACGGACGGACGAACCGACCTTTCTCTTTTATATAGTAGATATTTTCAGGCTGAAGAGCGCGACTTAAAACGCATTCGCCGAAAGATTCGCAACAAGCGCAGTGCCCAAACGAGTCGCAAAAGGAAACAGGTTAGCGGGGAATTTTCGAGAAAACCATTTACGAGAGGGTTTTTTTTTCTAAATATTGACTTCGGAGTGAAACGGTAACAGGTACGGATTGGAGGAAAGGATGAGGAGACCTTCTTTCTTTCTGAAAGGCCGGTAAAGAGCGCCGGTCTCTTTACCTTTCAATGTTTGCTCTCTCTCTGACGGTCAACCTCTTTTTTTCTCATCGTTTTCGTTGAATGGTCAAGCCCGAGGGGTTTTACACAAAAATTTTGATTTATTACTGTAGAAAGCTTAAGTCTTTGGGCTACTTTGGGGTACTTTGGGCTACTTTAGACTGCTCTAGACTACTTTGGGCTACTTTAGACTGCTCTAGACTACTTTGGGCTACTTTAGACTGCTCTAGACTACTTTGGGCTACTTTAGACTGCTCTAGACTACTTTGGGCTACTTTAGACTGCTCTAGACTACTTTGGGCTACTTTAGACTGCTCTAGACTACTTTGGGCTACTTTAGACTGCTCTAGACTACTTTGGGCTACTTTAGACTGCTCTAGACTACTTTGGGCTACTTTAGACTGCTCTAGACTACTTTGGGCTACTTTAGACTGCTCTAGACTACTTTGGGCTACTTTAGACTACTTTAGACTACTTTGGACTACTTTGGGGTACTTTAGGCCACTTTGGGCTACTTTGGACTGCTCTAGACTACTTTGGACTACTTTAGACTACTTTAGGCTACTTTAGACTTATTTTTCTTAGAGTACACGACTTTACGAATACAAAACCTACAGAAACACATATACTTTTGACTCTATGAAGACAGTAAAACAAGTAAAACAATACAAAATCAATACATAGCATAGCATAGGCATAGCTGAAAGCTTTGAAAAGTACTTTGACTTGTAAGTAACCCTATGCAGTGACCACTTTTATCTTCTACAAGATTCCCAGAAATCATATAAATCTTCTGATCCATTGATTACGTCATTTACCTTATTTTCTAACCATTTTTCAAATTGCTCAATCATCAGATAATCGGTGGAGTAAATCAGATAGTTTTTTTCGAGGCAAAGCACCCGAAAAGAAACGGTTCAAGGCCATTGATGGGCATTGGCCTAGATTTGGGGGTCTCGTTTGTGAGAGTACCTCGAGAAAGGCTTTGACCCCACACACATCCATCCACCAAACATACCACCAAGGTCGATCTCTCTCTTTCTTCTCTTCTTTCCCTTCTCTTCCTTCTTTCTCTTCTCTTCCTTCTTTCCCTTCTTTCTCTTTGAATGACCGGCTGATCTTTCTTGGAAACGAGCCGAGAAATTCTGCTGGGGGAATTTTCGAGATTTGTGTAAGGACTTGTTGAAAGGAGGAATGAGGAGATTGGCTAAGGACTAGAGCTGAACTAACTAGAGCTGGACTTGGCTAGGTCCAGGTTGTTCAAGAAAAAGCCAGATCAGGTCAGAAGGCTAGAGTCAGGGCCAGGACCTGAACAAGGGTCTGTAGAGAACTGGACTAAGATTTGAGCCAAAATCTAAACTAGGATCTGAACCTGGACTTGAAACTAGAGCTGGACTTGGCTAGGTCCAGCTCTAGGGCTCTAAACTGGACTAGGTCCAGCTCTAGGGCTCCAAACTGGACTAGGTCCAGCCCTAGGGCTCTAAACTGTGCTAGGTTCAGCTCTAGGGCTCCAAACTGGACTAGGTCCAGCCCTAGGGCTCTAAACTGGGCTAGGTTCAGGTACAGAACTAGACCTAGACTTAATCCTGGGCCAGGACCTGGGACTGGACTTGGTGATGAAATTGGGCTAAGATTTAAACCAAAATCTAAAGCAGTGTCTAAACCTGAGCCTAAGCTAGGTTCAGGTACAAAACCAGACGTAGATATCGTGCTGAACATGAACCTGGACCTTGACTGGACCTTGATCAGATTGCAGATCTGATCTACAAAAAGTGGGGACGTCTAAGGACCTGACTTCTGGTTTGAGCTTAGCCAGGGTTAGCCTTTGACCAGGGTTAGCCAGAGCCAGGGTTAGCCAGAGCTTAGCCTTTAACCCATAAAATTGCTGGAGAGCCAAAAAGTTTAAAAATGACTGTTATTCGATCATAACTAGGTAACTAGGTAAGTTAAAAATCCCCATAACACCGATAACATTGTGATGAAGTGAACGTAATGCATTTCAATCTGTTTTTCGTTTCCAAAATAAGCTTCCAATCATTTTCTGATCTCAAACCCTTTGATGAATATCGAGAAAATCGAGATTTCTCCTAAAATCTCGTAAATTTCTCCTAGATTTCTCGTAAATTTCTCATAAAATTTGTGCTCATTCCTGAAAAAAAAACCGGTTTCCCGTTCAACCACCAGTGTTTTCCCCCCAAAAACGGAGCCAACTCTTGCGATTTTCTGGGCAGTGAATCGTTTTTGATTGTTTTTGTGGATGTCTGGTGAAATGGGGAGGGGAAAGAATGAATGGACATTACACAGAGGTCGAATGGCCAAAAGGAATGAGAGAGACGGGTCAAATCGGTTTGATCGTTGAGGGAAAAACGGCCACGAAACGGCAACTTTAACATATCTCTTTCAACTTTTCGATGCAATGGGAAACGTTCGCAATGGGAAACGCAATGGGAAACGCAATCGGAAACGTTTAAACGTTCGCAAAAAGACTTTAAGTAAAAGAAAGAACTGAATTGCTTCTGAAATCTTATGAATAAGAAAAAGCCAGGCCAATTAGGCGAGAAGCCAGGTTAGCCAGGCAAAATCTGGCTTTTGGCTTGTCCTGGAGAAATTGGCTTTGAAGGAATTGGCTTTGAAACAATCCTCAGGACTTTGAGATTCTTCTGATCCTTCTGATCCTTCTGATCCTTCTGATCCTTCTGATCCTTCTGATCCTTCTGATCCTTCTGATCCTTCTGATCCTTCTGATCCTTCTGATCCTTCTGATCCTTCTCATCCTTCTCATCCTTCTCATCCTTCTCATCCTTCTCATCCTTCTCATCCTTCTCATCCTTCTCATCCTTCTCATCCTTCTCATCCTTCTCATCCTTCTCATCCTTCTCATCCTTCTCATCCTTCTCATCCTTCTCATCCTTCTCATCCTTCTCATCCTTCTCATCCTTCTCATCCTTCTCATCCTTCTCATCCTTCTCATCCTTCTCATCCTTCTCATCCTTCTCATCCTTCTCATCCTTCTCATCCTTCTCATCCTTCTCATCCTTCTCATCCTTCTCATCCTTCTCATCCTTCTCATCCTTCTCATCCTTCTTGTTTCTCAAAACCCAAAGCTCTTGACTCGTAGATCCAACTTCAAACTTCCATTCAATGTCATTGGAAATCCTTGCCGATTTGGAAATCCTTGCCGACTTGGAAATCCTCTTTTAATTCTAGAACATCCATTCTCCTTTTGATTTTAGAACTTCTAGAAAGCTGAAACCGATTTCTGTCTCTCGGACAACTGTCAATCAGAATTCGAGACTGATCCTGTCAAATTCTGAACGTTTTGTGGCCTCCTGTCAACATTATTCCTGTCGAATTTTCCAATAATCAAATTCTTTCCAAGTTCCAAGTGATACAAAAAGGGGAAAAGAATGATCTGAAGAAGACGGCGCTTGTCATCTTTCAAAAAAGTCAGATAAGACTTGAGATTGGTGAGCTGAAGACTGAAGAAACGGAAATTGAAAGAAATTGGAATTAGGGAGTGAAATTGAATGACGAAAGAAATGGGGAAATGAAAATTTAAAGTTATAACTCTTTAGAGAAAATTAGAATTCCTGAACTTCTACCGCTAGATTTCTTCAGCATTTCTGTACTACGATCCTTTGTTTTTGTACTACGATTCTTTGCTTCTGTACTACGATTCTTTGTTTCTGTACTATGATCCTTTGTTTCTGTACTACGAGATTCGAACCAGGAATGACAAGAGCCAGAGTCGAGCGCATTAACCACTAGGCCACGAAAACTTTTGCTCGTTTTAGATAACTAAAAGCTTAGATAGATTTTGTGATATCCAGCTTCAACAAAAAACTTTTTAGTTTGACTCAATTTTCTTTCCTTTCTCTTAAAATCCCGCGAACTGAGAACACCAAAAAATAAGCGGAAAGAGACAAAATTAGAGCTAAAGAAAATGCTGTTTATAAATCCTGGAACGCACTGAATATTTTGCAATTATTAGTACCTGAAAATCGATAACAATTTTGATGGCGCAGTGGGTAAAGCGGCGTTGGTTTCCCAGGCGGAGGGTCGCTGGTTCGACTCCCGTTACCGCCAAAAGTTTTTGCTTTTTTGAAAAAACATTAGAATTCTGTTTTAATGCTGGGGAAAATGATTGGGGCTCATATTGCGGTGGCGCCTTTTTGTGCTCAAAGTGCTCAAAGTGCTCAAAGTGCTCAAACTTTTCTGATTAGAAGTTTTCTGATCAATTTCGAAGTTGACTGAATATCATTAGGTTAAAATTGATATTTTAGCATCATTCTTGTCTACTTATAAAAACTAGAGCTTCTCTAAAACCCACAATTCACTTCACAAATTTCCAGGACTACATCGAGCAATTGGAGGATCGAGTCAACGATTGCACTCAGGAGAACAATGACCTTAAACAAGAGGTACAGGATTGAGAGGATTGATTTCCAAAGAGAAAATTAGACAAATAGACGTATAGAAATAGAAATAAAGAGATTTAGAGAGGTATGGAGAGGTATGGAGAGATTTAGAGAGGTATAGAGAGATATAAAAGAGGTATAGACAAGAAATTTCAACTTAAATTGAACAATTTCATTGAAATTTCATTGAAATTTCATTGATTTCATTGAAAATTCATTGATTTCATTGTCTAGGTTGAACGCCTTCGTCACGAGAATCTCTACGTGCGCACACAGTTGCGCAAATTGCAAGCCGCTTTCGCCGCCTCCACAAAACGATCCACTCAAGCGGGCACCTGCCTTGCTGTCCTCGTTTTGTCGCTTTGCCTACTTGTAAGTTTCAGTTTTATTTGGTTGTAGGTTTCAATCGATTTTCAATCGCTTTTCTAATCGCTCACAAAACTTGGGATTCTAGGTGGCACCAAACTTGAACCCATTCCTGAAGCACCTGCAAAACAACAGCGAAAGCGAGGCCGCTGCTCGAGCTGCCGCTGGACAACCAGCGAAAGCTCACGAGGGATCGAATCCAGTAGCTGCCCGAAGTGGGGTACCACAACGATCCGCGATTCCGCTACCGGGTGAGGAAAGGAAAAGAATATTGAAATATGTTAAGCTAGCTATTGGGCCTTAAAGCTAGCTAGCAGTCAATGTAAAGAGCCTTAAAAGTCATTCAACTGTTAACAAAACATTTAACTCCTGTCAAAACAAATCAAAAGTCCTGTTCATCAATCAATTTCCGAAATTCTTTGATTGAGTCCGAAAAGCATCAAGCAACAGTAAAAGGAAAAGGAAAGCTGTTGTAAAAGGTGAAAAGGAAAGCTGTTGTAAAAGCTGAAAAGGAAAGCTGTTCTAATCCTGGTGTAATTTTGTAATAGTTTGCCATTTAACCGATAGAGCAAACGTAATTACGGAATTCGCGAATGGTAACCAAATGGGAACCGAATTGGAACCGAATTGGAACCAAACGGGAACCAAACGGGAACCAAAAGAGAACCAAATGGGAGCTAAACGGGAACTAAACGGGAACTAAACGGGAACCAAATGGGAACTAAACGGGAACCAAATGGGAACTAAACGGGAACTAAACGGGAACCAAAAGGGAACCAAATGGGAACTAAACGGGAACTAAACGGGAACTAAACGGGAACTAAACGGGAACTAAACGGGAACCAAAAGGGAACCAAATGGGAACTAAACGGGAACTAAACGGGAACTAAACGGGAACTAAACGGGAACCAAAAGGGAACCAAATGGGAACTAAACGGGAACTAAACGGGAACCAAATGGGAACTAAACGGGAACTAAACGGGAACCAAATGGGAACTAAACGGGAACTAAACGGGAACTAAACGGGAACCAAAAGGGAACCAAATGGGAACTAAACGGGAACTAAACGGGAACTAAACGGGAACTAAACGGGAACCAAAAGGGAACCAAATGGGAACTAAACGGGAACTAAACGGGAACTAAACGGGAACCAAAAGGGAACCAAATGGGAACTAAACGGGAACTAAACGGGAACTAAACGGGAACCAAAAGGGAACCAAATGGGAACTAAACGGGAACTAAACGGGAACTAAACGGGAACCAAAAGGGAACCAAATGGGAACTAAACGGGAACTAAACGGGAACCAAAAGGGAACCAAATGGGAACTAAACGGGAACTAAACGGGAACTAAACGGGAACTAAACGGGAACTAAACGGGAACTAAACGGGAACCAAATGGGAACTAAACGGGAACTAAACGGGAACCAAATGGGAACTAAACGGGAACTAAACGGGAACTAAACGGGAACCAAAAGGGAACCAAATGGGAACTAAACGGGAACTAAACGGGAACTAAACGGGAACCAAAAGGGAACCAAATGGGAACTAAACGGGAACTAAACGGGAACTAAACGGGAACTAAACGGGAACCAAAAGGGAACCAAATGGGAACTAAACGGGAACTAAACGGGAACCAAATGGGAACTAAACGGGAACTAAACGGGAACCAAATGGGAACTAAACGGGAACTAAACGGGAACTAAACGGGAACCAAAAGGGAACCAAATGGGAACTAAACGGGAACTAAACGGGAACTAAACGGGAACCAAAAGGGAACCAAATGGGAACTAAACGGGAACTAAACGGGAACCAAATGGGAACTAAACGGGAACTAAACGGGAACCAAAAGGGAACCAAATGGGAACTAAACGGGAACTAAACGGGAACTAAACGGGAACTAAACGGGAACTAAACGGGAACTAAACGGGAACCAAATGGGAACTAAACGGGAACTAAACGGGAACCAAATGGGAACTAAACGGGAACTAAACGGGAACTAAACGGGAACTAAACGGGAACCAAAAGGGAACCAAATGGGAACTAAACGGGAACTAAACGGGAACTAAACGGGAACTAAACGGGAACCAAAAGGGAACCAAATGGGAACTAAACGGGAACTAAACGGGAACTAAACGGGAACCAAATGGGAACCAAATGGGAACTAAACGGGAACTAAACGGGAACTAAACGGGAACCAAAAGGGAACCAAATGGGAACTAAACGGGAACTAAACGGGAACTAAACGGGAACTAAACGGGAACCAAAAGGGAACCAAATGGGAACTAAACGGGAACTAAACGGGAACTAAACGGGAACCAAAAGGGAACCAAATGGGAACTAAACGGGAACTAAACGGGAACTAAACGGGAACCAAAAGGGAACCAAATGGGAACTAAACGGGAACTAAACGGGAACTAAACGGGAACTAAACGGGAACCAAAAGGGAACCAAATGGGAACTAAACGGGAACTAAACGGGAACTAAACGGGAACTAAACGGGAACCAAAAGGGAACCAAATGGGAACTAAACGGGAACTAAACGGGAACTAAACGGGAACTAAACGGGAACCAAAAGGGAACCAAATGGGAACTAAACGGGAACTAAACGGGAACTAAACGGGAACCAAAAGGGAACCAAATGGGAACTAAACGGGAACTAAACGGGAACCAAATGGGAACTAAACGGGAACTAAACGGGAACCAAAAGGGAACCAAATGGGAACTAAACGGGAACTAAACGGGAACTAAACGGGAACTAAACGGGAACTAAACGGGAACTAAACGGGAACCAAATGGGAACTAAACGGGAACTAAACGGGAACCAAATGGGAACTAAACGGGAACTAAACGGGAACCAAATGGGAACTAAACGGGAACTAAACGGGAACCAAATGGGAACTAAACGGGAACTAAACGGGAACCAAATGGGAACTAAACGGGAACTAAACGGGAACCAAAAGGGAACCAAATGGGAACTAAACGGGAGTAAACGGGAACCAAATGGGAACTAAACGGGAACTAAACGGGAACCAAAAGGGAACCAAATGGGAACTAAACGGGAACTAAACGGGAACTAAACGGGAACTAAACGGGAACTAAACGGGAACTAAACGGGAACCAAATGGGAACTAAACGGGAACTAAACGGGAACCAAATGGGAACTAAACGGGAACTAAACGGGAACCAAATGGGAACTAAACGGGAACTAAACGGGAACCAAATGGGAACTAAACGGGAACTAAACGGGAACCAAATGGGAACTAAACGGGAACTAAACGGGAACCAAAAGGGAACCAAATGGGAACTAAACGGGAGTAAACGGGAACCAAATGGGAACGAAATCTGAACGAAATCTGAACGAAATCTCTGAACCAAAACTGAACTAAAACTGAACTAAATAGGAACCTAATCGGAACCGAATCGCGTTTGCTCACCGACTGATAGACAGACAGACACGTTGAACACAAAATCCATTAAAGTCTAACAGCCAAAATTCTCATAAATACGATTACATTTGCATTCTTATACATTTCCGAATTTCTAGGTCGCTCGCGAACACTGATGGATCATATGCCGAAATGCGAGGGAGCAGCGATTGAAATGGAGGAGGCCCCGGTGAGGGGACAACGCACTCAGAATCAATGGCAATCACCAACTTTTGATCAGGTATTTCATTGCTATTTCATTCGGAAAATAGTCTTTCCAAATCCCAAAGAGCAATTCCAGAATCCAGAAATTTCAGAACAAATCCCTGAACAAAGTGCAACCGGCGAAGACTCCGCCGTCGCGTTTCCACGAGCAAAATCACGCGAAATCGATGCACGTCAAGCAAGAGGTTGGGAAGAAAGGAACAAAAAGAGATTTAAAAGAAAAAGATAAATGTAAATCTAAATAGATTATTTGATTAAATAGATTATTTGATTTCTAAAGCCAATCTCGATATTCAGATCATCTCACCCGAGAGCATCAACTTATTCGATGACATGTCCAAGGGAACCTATATCTACGAGGTTTGTACTGCTGTCAGGCCAGCTAAAAATTGATTAGAACAATCGCTTGTAGTTAGTTTTGGCAAAAATACAGAGAATCTCTTTGAAGTTGAAGCAATTTGATTGAACAGTGAACCTAGCTACAGTAATCTAAGCTTTGCTGACTAAGGTTCCCGAGTACAGTGACTAGAGTACGATAACCAAGCTACCGTAACCAGCCTACTGCAACTAGGCTACAGTAACCCGAGTACAGTAACTAGAACAAGTACAGTAGTCAGGCTACAGTAGTCAGGCTACAGTAGTCAGGCTACAGTAGTCAGGCTACAGTAGTCAGGCTACAGTAGACTGACTGCAGTAGCCTGGCGACAGTAAGCTGGCGACAGTAGACTGACTGCAGTAGACTGACTGCAGTAGACTGACTGCAGTAGACTGACTGCAGTAGACTGACTGCAGTAGACTGACTGCAGTAGCCTGGCGACAGTAAGCTGGCGACAGTAAGCTGGCGACAGTAAGCTGGCGACAGTAAGCTGGCGACAGTAAGCTGGCGACAGTAAGCTGGCTACTAACAAGGGATGGTGTACTGGCTGAGGTGGCCAAACCTATGCATTCGACGCAGTATTTTATGATACCTTATGGCTTTATATAAAAGTTTATTGAATTAGAATAGAAATTTCGTCTTTCAGTTAGAGCAAACGCACTACGTTGACGAGACGGTTCCATACGTGCAAAGTGGAGGGAAATTGGTGAATCGTACGAATAAAATGTTGTATGCAAATGTGGAAACAAATGGAAACACTGGTGAACCGCCAGCAAAAAAACGCCTCTCCGTGCATCCATATTAAGAATTTTTTTTGATATTGAATTGAAACTTCAATTGAATTGTATACTCAATCGTTATACTCAAATACTCAATCGTTAATATAATCGCTTCCAATCGTTTATTCGATCGTTTCCAATCGTACTCAATCGTACTCAATCGTTTCCAATCGTTTATCTAATCGTTTTCTACATTTGGAGATTGAAATCTTCAAACGATCATTGATAATTGTTTATCTAACTGTTAAAGCTTTTTTGAACGATTTGTTGGATAATTTTTACTTGCTTTGTTTTACCGCAATCCTGTAGAATTGTTTTGCTGAGCTGTTTATTTGATCGTTTAATATTTGATCGGATTTGATCGGATTTGATCGGATTTGATCGGATTTGATCGGATTTAATAGTATTCAATCAGATTCAATCGGATTCAATCGTGTTTAATCGTTTATTTGCTTGTTTAATATTTGATTACAGTTTCCAATCGTTTATCTAATCGTTTCGAATCGTTTATATGATTGTTTCCAATCGTTAACTTGATCGTTTCCAATCGTTTATTCAATCGTACTCAATCGTTTATATAATCGCTTCCAATTGTTTATTTGATCGTTTAATATTTGATTACTGTTTCCAATCGTTTATCTAATCGTATTCAATCGTTTATTCGATCGTTTCCAATCGTTTCCAATCGTACTCAATCGTTTCCAATCGTTTCCAATCGTATCCAATCGTATCCAATCGTACTCAATCGTACTCAATCGTTTCCAATCGTTTCCAATCGTATCCAATCGTATCCAATCGTACTCAATCGTACTCAATCGTTTCCAATCGTTTCCAATCGTATCCAATCGTATCCAATCGTACTCAATCGTACTCAATCGTTTCCAATCGTTTCCAATCGTATCCAATCGTATCCAATCGTACTCAATCGTACTCAATCGTTTCCAATCGTTTCCAATCGTATCCAATCGTACTCAATCGTTTCCAATCATTTATCTAATCGTTTTCTACATTTCACCCTTTCTACGATAGTTCCCCCGTAGTTCGGGCTATTTTGCACCTTTTCTATCGTACTTTTCTATCGTACTTTTCTATCATACTTTCTCTAATATTCATCATTTTCTATATCAAATTTCTTTTACCGTATCCTCAGCCTGTTTTCTAAGCTAAACTTAGCTAAAGTTTGCACCTTTGATTCCTATTTTGCACCTCGATTACCGTATTTTGTCCCTTCTCGATGTTCTCTGTTTCACAAAAGAAGAAGGGACCAATTTTTCTTTATTTTCTTTATTTATCGATTATCTATCTTGATTTTTGATTCATCTATTATCTTTCTTTTTATGTCTGTACATAAGCATTCCAATTTTACGCCCAGCCGGTCTAGATTCACTAACATTTCCCCCTAAATCACCGAATCACCGAATTCCAGGAATTCTCTCTCTCCCGAATCTAGACCGTGCTCCACAAGCTGAGCTAACACGGCAATGTGCCATTTCCAAGTCATTTTTTTACTTCAATCCAAAAAATGACGATCAATTCATGATCGGCACGTTTGCGAATGTGATATTTTTCGATTTTTTTTTTTTGTTTGGATATCTGTTGATGAGGTTCAAAGCCGTTTTTAGGCCTGGAAGGGGTTTTAAAAGAAAAATGGGATCTAAAACGAATATTTAGAAGAACTTTAAACAATTGAATACCTACCTTACCGACAGCTGAACTTGGTTCAGATGTTCAGATGACCGCTATATGAGTCGAACCAGGACCCTTAGAACACTAGCCAAAGATCCAACCGACTCGGCCATGGGGGCATTTGAAACCGGCCGAGATTTTCAGCTTTTCTCTCTTTTCATGGTCAAAAACAGGCCATGGATTTTTGCGAAAAAATCGGCTGCTCAAGGACTCGAACCAGGATCCTTAGAACTCTAGCCAAAGATCTAACCCGCTCGGCCATGGAGACATTTGAAACCGGCTCAGATTTCTAGCTTTTCTCTCTTTTCATGGTCAAAAACAGGCCCTGGATTTTTGCGAAAAAAATCGTCGCTCAAGGACTCGAACCAGGACCCTTAGACCTCTAACCAAACATCCAACCCACTCGGCCATGTAAACACTTGAACCCCCTTCAAATTTCCAAGTTTTCTCTCTCTTTTCATAGTCTTTTTCCGACTCAACAGTATTTTTAACTCGTCTAATCAAATGTTCATCCAAAAAAAGGCACAAAAAAATCGTTATTATTATGAAAAACTTTCGGAAAATCTATCTACATTTGTCGATAATTCGTTTAAGTGAAAAGTTTTTTCGCTTTTTTGATTCATTTTCTATTCATTTCTTTGTATTCCTTCTGTTTTCCTGGCGTTTTTTCGGGTTTCCTCTCGTGTTCTGTTTTGTTTTTTATGTAGGAGAAACTGTCCTCACTTGGATAAATATCTTTCTTTTTTTTTTGTTTGTAAAATGAAACACAAATGGAGGGTTGAATGAAAGACAAAACGAGGGAATATACATAAAGATATACTGGTTTTCGTTTAATTTACAGTTCTGAAAAGCTAGAAATCTAGAAATCTAGAGATCTAGAGATCTAGAGATCTAGAGATCTAGAAGTCTAGAGATCTAGAAGTCTAGAGATCTAGAGATCTAGAGATCTAGAGATCTAGAGATCTAGAGATCTAGAGATCTAGAGATCTAGAGATCTAGAAATCTAGAGATCTAGAAGTCTAGAGATCTAGAAGTCTAGAGATCTAGAGATCTAGAGATCTAAAGATCTAGAAATCTAGAGATCTAGAAATCTAGAGATCTAGAAATCTAGAAATCTAGAGATCTAGAAGTCTAGAAAATCTAGGTACAAACAAGTAAACAAAGGTAAAAAAATTCTCGGAAAAGGTGAAAATTCACAATTTTTTTAGATGAAGAGTTAAGGTTTTAAAGAAAGATACAAAGTATTCAATATTAAAATATAGTAATCTTTTTGGAATTTCAAATTTAGTAAAATGTAAAAATAATCTAGAAATCTAATCTAGAAATCTAGAAATCCAATCTAGAAATCTAGAAAGTCCAACTCCTATGCATTGCTTTCTTCATAGGAGTTGAAGTTTGAGAGCACTAGACGATCTGCGATCTGCGAGCTCCATAAATCCCCATAAATCTTGAAAAGTACAGTGTGTTCTTGAAAAGTACAGTACATCAAGTAACTCATCTCTCAATTATAGCCTTTTATCACATCTACTATTACACTTTAAAGTCTTTTTTATCAATTCGATGCTAGAGATTTCAAATCTGAAAACCGTTTGTCAATAGTTGCCACCGTTTTCGAGATCTGAAACGATTATGCATGGAAAACGGGTTTTTTAAGGTTTTGGCTTTTTTTCTTTTTCTGTTTTCGAAATAAATTCAATTCTAATTCAATAAACTTTTCAGAAACTAGAAAAAATTTGCAAAAATTTGCAATCTTTTGCAATCTTTTGCTAATGCTATAAGTCATCATTTCTCAAAGCTTCCTAGTAAACTTGTAACTCTACAAGAAGTGTAGAGTTACAAGTTATCACAGATCTTACTTCTAGAATCGTTAAGGGATCTTGTAAGTCGTTAAGGGATCTTGTAAGTCGTTAAGGTATCTTGTAAGTCGTTAAGGGATCTTGAAATGAATCTTGTAAGCTATTCGATCAAAAATCACTTTCCTATCTTCTAGCCTATCTATTTTTTTTTCCACTAGACAATAAACGGTGTTTGGTCTCATCAAAATAATCCTCCTCTTTCTCTACACAAACAAGTGAACCTGTTATTTTTCCAGGACAAAAAAAAGCTGTTTGGCACGTTTTTTTGAGCTGTGATCATGGTGATCATTCACTTGTTTGTCGGCCATAAAATAGGATTAATTTTAGAATGTTTGGACAATTGGATTTTGAATTGAAAACATAATACAATTGGATTCGAAAAGTCAAAACGAAATGCAAATGAATGGAGTTTTGAATGGGTGAATTGAAATTGAATGGAGTTTTGAATGGGTGAATTGAAAATGGATAGTTGAAAGTGTTGAAAAGAGTTGTTGAAATGGATAGTTGAAAGTGTTGAAAGGTGGAGAAGCGGAATATCACAGTGGGGAAAGCAATCAGAGAGTGCTCGGCTCGTTTACTTGTGATCCTTGCGAGGGGAGGTTCATCGAACTGTTGCCAGCCTGGAAAAGAAAAGTTTACAGAATGAAATATAAATCGCAAAGAAGCACATAGCAAGCATTGAAATTAGACGCCTCAAATCTGGAAAACCCCGGGAACAATCTATTGTTCTTGTTGTTGTCTATTGTTAACTTAACTATTGTTACCTTAACTATTGTTAACTTAACTATTGTTAAGTCCAGAGTTCACTTGTAAATGTGCAAAGTGAATGGCTGAGCCTGACTAGGGATCGTTGTTTATTTACCCTCGAAGTGAGATCTAGCCTATTTTGTAGCTGATTCTGAATATCTACCGTAATACCTGTAATATTAGCACTGCTAAGGCTGTAATATTAGCTCTGCTAAGGCTGTAATATTAGCGCTGCTAAGGCTGTAATATTAGCTCTGCTAAGGCTGTAATATTAGCGCTGCTAACGCTGTAATATTAGCTCTGCTAAGGCTGTAATATTAGCTCTGCTAAGGCTGTAATATTAGCTCTGCTAAGGCTGTAATATTAGCGCTGCTAAGGATGGCCCATCAGTATGGAGACATGATTTTTTCGGGTGTACATCAAAGCAAAGGCGTTTTCTTTGTAAATTGCTTTCTAACAAGGTAGCCTTGATCAAGGTACCCAAGGTACTGATCGAGCTTGTGTCCAATGACACGTCAAACAAACAAATGAGCTGAACAAAATGCACGAAAAATGGAAGCGTCGGACGCGGACGGACACCACGGTGGCGTGGTGGCGATGGTGGCGGATGCGCTTGACCTCAAAAGAGATTGATGAAGCTTTGACAATATGGATTCTTGAAAAAGGAGCAAAAAAAGGAGATTGATCCATCGAATGATCTGGAACGAAGCGGCTAATCGATCGGCTAATCGGTT